TTTGGATAAAATCCCTTAATGATGCAACAAAGGGATTTTAAATATTTAAACCTCAAATTCCAATACTTGGCCCTGCCCCATTTCACTCAGAGGGGCCACACCCTCTGCTCATACAAAACTTAGTCCAGAAGAAGGATTTTTAAGATTCAAACCTAAACCTCCCATATAGGGCCCCACCTCTCTTCACCGAGAGGGGCCACATTTCAGTTACAAAATTGAGTTCCCTTTACCTGAAGCAATCTGAGGCCAAATTTCGATTAACAAATAAGTTGTTGATTCAATGCCTGTATAACATGTCCTTGCTTCTTTGGCAATTTCATATCACAGTAACGTTGTAGTCCTTTTTGTATGTAATATTTGATTGTTTTTCCTCTCAAAATATCAGGCCTAGGAATGCAATTAGAAATGTAATTTCAGATTCTGAACATCATACTTTTTGTTTACTACCTAACTGGTTGATGAAATCAAACTAGGATGCTTCTTGAAATGGCATTTATTGTCCTTAGCTGTTTTTTGCTTTATTCATAAAGAAATTATATGGATTTATTAATACAGAACTGTATGTTAAACTGAACACTATATCAATTGATTCCTCTCAATTGGTTTGGCTAAAGTTTGTTTAACATGCTATTAACAACTAATGTCATTAAGGACGTGCCTCCATGTGTGAAGTGTATGCGCGCTTGCCTGTGTTTGTATGCAGGTGACAGGGGTGTGTTGTTGTGCTTCCTCTCAAACTTTATTATTAATGATGTTATCTTGTATTTGTAACGCTACAAAATGTTCAGCGCAGAAGAATGTTCTTGGTTTTCAAAATTCTGTACACTCATTTTTCCTTGAAAAACCTGTACACGCATTATATGTGTGTTACAGGTTAAAAATCTCGACAGCTTTCCTAAACACAGACAAAATCATTATCAAATTGATGCTTTATAATGTTGCGGCATTGGACTGGGTCAATCACTAGGGAGCAGGAAGACCTTTGTCATGTCTAAGAGTTCGGAGGTCATAGGTTTGAATCTTGGTCTGGTCGCAATACCCATATAAGGATCTTGTGTACATGTCCTCGGATTCAAAGACTATGGGAGGAATTATGCAAGCGGGAGTGGAGAAGGTGGATCGCTGGCAACCAGTAATTAGCTCAATTAATCAGAGTGTCCATCTAGAGTTCAAAAGTCCAGGTTGAAATCCCAGACCGACCTGATCGAATTTGCTGAAATAGGTTTATAATGTACTGACTATGATATTTTTATAATCATGATGTGGTCAAATAGGTTTGAAATTCTGTTAATAATCAACAATAAAAGTGATCAGTATATGCTTGATATATTGTCGAAGCGTATTATAGGGGGTATTTTTTATTTTAACATTATAAGCTAACAGAACTTCCGACTAACAGCTGCTGTTCACAGGGACCCGATAATTTGTGACAGCTATATTTGGACCTAAACTACGGTGTTCAGAGTAATGTTTAAAGGTTTTAGTTTGACTTTCGGTAAAAATGCCACCCCCCAATGCTTATGTAATTATATATTTTTCATTGGGGGTGACATTTTTACTTTTTACCGAAAGTCGATTGAAACCCCTAAAACATATAAAATTACTCTGAACACCTTAGTTTACGGCCAAATATAATAGGTAGTTGTAACAAATTCTCAGGTTCCTGTGTTCCTGTGGTTTGGTAGGGGAATTTAGGTAAAGTGGAATTGACATAAAAAAAATATATGGGCCTTTATGATTATGGTATCACAATCTGTCTAGGGGGTCTGTCAAACAGAGAAAAGGTGAGAATGCTAATTACTAATACCCTATTAGGCCTATACTAATAGAAAAATAATGTTGTAAGCCTAATTTTAACAATTTATAATTGACATACCATTTTCTTCCATATCTTTATTTCTGTATTACTGTATCTCAGCTTAAATTTTCATTGAATCTAGTTCTCTTTCGGGTACGAATATTATTGATGTCTTTATTTGTCTATTGATGATTTTACCCAAACATCATTTACTGGTTGATGTCATAACTTACACCGTTATGCAGATAATATGTAAAGAGCGTGCGATTTGGTTTGGTTTGGTTTGTTTGTGACTTACGTCCTTATTAACAGCTATGTTCGTTTAAGAACATGCCAGGTTTTGGTAGTGGAGGAAGGCCGGAGTTTCCTGAGAAAAAACACCAACATACGGCCAGTACCTGGAGACTGCCCCACGAAGGTCCCGAACCTGCGACACAGTGGCGGAGGGCTAGTGGTAGCAGAATGTCAGACACCTTAACCACTTTGCCACCGCGGCCCCCAGACCTTGTACCAAGTTCAAACTATGCATATTCACTAGGCTGAAATAGATGGGACGTCATCTGGTCTCTCCATAATCTGAGTATCGAGAGAGACGAGGTCTCGGTGACTTCACGTATAATTGCATCACATTACCGTAAATTATGAATTTATGAAAAATCGTGGCCAAAATCCTTTAAATTCTTATTTTTCTCAACCCACTAACACCCTTATCAGATAACCTTATAAGCACATAAAATGTGGCTCAACTCAAACACTCTAACCTTGTCCTAATTTAATCCTAACATTAAACATTCAAACTAAACCTGACTTATAAGACATTAACCTTTACTTCTTACTCTTTATACCAATCACTTACTCCAAACTCTTACCCGCTACCTTTAATATTCAAACATTACCCTACTCTCATCCAAATAATTCCAACAGGTCGCAGTACAAATTTCTGGTATACACATACAAGGCACTGAATGGAACAGCTCCTCAGTACCTACAGGAACTTGTTACCCTGTATCAGCCGTCAAGATCACTGCGGTCGGAGTCAGAATCTTTGTTGTGTGTCCCAAAATCTCGTACTGTGACCTACGGAAACAGATGCTTTGGGAGGGTTTCGGCTACGTTGTGGAATAGCTTACCATCTGCTATTAGGAAGTCAAATACCCTGGCCAAGTTCAAGAGGGACATAAAAACTCACCTCTTCACGTCTGCATTTTAGAATCTTTGCAAAGACGTCATGTAAA